TTTGACGTAACTAACAATATCAAGTCAGCTATAGTGAAAAAGATAGTGTAACTACGCAGTGTCCAGCTCGTAAGGAAACAATGGTCAATTTTTCTACCAAGTTATTTCAAAACTGTTATTTTTGCTAACCTATTTCCCTCGAATACTTTATTAATAGTAAGTACAAGTGAAAATAATGTGTTACATTTTGTATACTACATTCGTCTTATCATTTTAATTGTTTAATCCCAGTTAATCAGTCGAGAAATTTGTATTATTGTTTTGTTTATCAGACTACCGCAGTGTATTTGTATTTATCCCTGTCGCTATATATAATTTACAATAAAAATGTATAACATCGTAACTAATTAAAAATAGAGAAACTCGTTGTGTGGAATGCAGACTTTATTTAGTTATTAGCATAGGCTTCAATTCGCATAATATTTGTATTTCCCCATACTTACTCGTCGTTCATTTTGCTGTATTTTATCCATCTTAAAAAAGTCTTTCCATATTAATAGCTTCAGTACTAACACATTTCTTAAAGCAGAATGTTTCGCGAAGAAAAAGATTGAAATGTCACAAAGTTCTACGTTTAAATATTTCTAATACATAAATTTGTGACACTGTTTTTAGGTTATGTCCTTTCTTAAAATATGAAAATTCACATTTTGAATAAATTTCAACGAAAATGCACTCGACGAATGCAACGAAATGTTTGAATTTTATTTGTACCATGAAAAATTAAAACAAAAAATTTTTATAAATTAAAACATATTTCATACATTAATGTTATTCAATTATCTATCACACTGAAACACTTAAAAACTAATAACACAAACAGATAGCAAGATATGATACTAAAACAATTACATTATAATAATATACAAAATAAAGAACAAGTTCAAATAAATTATAATTATCATTTTTAAGTGAGTCAATTTTAACATTTAATAAACTTTACAAATTGAAGTTATATGTACATCATTTTCATTTATCATTATTCATCATTATTCAATCGTTCTGCATTATATACCTACAAGTGGAAAACTATAGGCCTTAATTATTTTCAAATTACATGCTGAACGTTCCCTCGTTCATTCCTTCATATTCTTCATTGTATTATTAACTTATACAAAATTTACGTAATTAAGTTTAACATGTAAATACATAATTATTATTAACCTGCGTGTTACGTGTTATCCAGCACAACAAAAGTGAAAGCGCAAACAAGCAAAAATTAGCAAATTTATTAATATAAAAAAATTAGTATAAGCAATTACAGGTAATTTATTTGCAGGATTATTCTGTAGTTTATAAAGAGACATTCATGGGAAGTATTTAATACCATGGCAGACCTTCCATTCAGTCATTCAGTCAACGTGATTTTGAGCAACTAATTTGCACTTGCCTCTTGCAGTATGGGTTCGATCTGCCATATGGTTTAGGGAGGTATAGTAGTATATAGATTCCGACGAAATTGCCTGTAATACCCTACACAAAGTCGGACCTGTTTATGCTGGTCTTAACGAAGTTTGAAAGGGTGCAGTTATTAGAGAGAATCGTGAAAGACACGCTCCACTCAATGACACCAGTTACGCTGTTTGAAAGACCTAATAACGCAGAGCTGAAAGTGAACAGTGCGTTAAAAGACACCGGGGAAAGTGTTAAGAAAGAAAATATTCTTTCGCTTCAGCTGCACTTTCTAATTTCTAACATTAATTCTTTTCTTTCTTTGTATTTCGACGTTAATTATTTTTTACAGAGAAACTTCATATATTTTGCACGTTTTTAATACTATTAAAAAAAAAAAGAAAGATTTTAAGTATTTTACATTTTTACTTTTAATATATCTTTTAAACAAAGAATACGAAACATCTTATGCCATTATTTTTAATATTGTTTTGTGAGAAAGAAGTTTTTAATATTGTACGCATTTATTTGAAATGATATTTTTCAAGTGAAAATTTTTGTTATGATTCACACATTTGTCGAAATAAAATTTTTATCAGATATGTACATATGTAGATACTGACATGGCATGAATAATAATTCACCTGACATGGTGATGAATAATAATCACCTCTTGATAATCTCCATAATTCTATTAGATCAAATAATACGGTAGCAATCGATTAAAATAATCCACAAATTTTTACTAAGAAATTATGATAAAAAACATTGCGAGAAAAAACATCAATAACAAATTCTCAAAATTTAATTCATTTTTAACAATCACCTCTTGATAATCTCCATAATTCTATTGGATCAAATAATACGATAACAGTCGATTAAAGTTATCTACAAATTTTTACTAAGAAATCTGATAAAAAACTGCGAGAAAAAACATCAATAACAAATTCTCAAAATTTCATTCATTATTGTACATATTTTTGTATTTCTCTAAATGTAATCTTAACTTTTTTGATTACTTCATTTGATGTAGTTGTACCTAACTCTTTATCAACTCTTATAGGTGATTTATATTTCATATGATATAGTAAGACATTTTATTTTGACTTTCTTTGAAACTTTCTATTTTACTTTCAACTTTCAACATCTTTATCTAAATTCAGAAATCTTGATTTCTTCCAGTTACAACGTATTATTTTAATTGCATCCTTTATTTATGCAATAATGATAATAATAAGTAGTAAATACCGGTATCATATAATTAAAATTTTTAATACGATATTTATTAAACAAAACAAAAAATAAATAAGGTTAGAAATGAAATTGTTATACTTTTCATTTTAAATTTAATTAAACACAATTAATATTGTATGCGTACAGTAAATATATAAATACTTCGAATATAAACGAATATATCGACATAAGGAAATATGTATATATTTAATGGTAGCTTAATGTAAAATGTAGATACGAGCACATATTAAACTTAAATTATTGTAATTACAAACCACACGCATACCTTAAATCAATTTCTTTCACTTAAACAAAGTAAATCTAAAACAAAACGTAGTCCAACAAGTTAACTTTAATATTACAGTATAATAACATCCTACACATAACCTACATACATATGTATACCATACACTTTTCTAACGTCTAATAAATAATGATCAAATTACGTCATCGCATACAAATTTCCTTTCATCGAAGAAAATTGATCGTTCACGTTAAACTGTTAATATCACATCTCTCTGCGATAAAACAGTCCCTATAACAACGTACAGACAGAAGAAGAAAAAAAAAATGTAAAAAGCGAGGAAAGTGAAGCAACGTGCATAGTCCACATGTTGACATGTTGTTCACATGTTGAACTTGAAAACAAACGCGACAAAGAGCAAATAAATAGACACCTGCGAGCAACTTTCAAGGCGAAAATGCCCTCGACCTACTTCTCACCGCGAATAATACTCAGTTTTGCGTTATCTGGTTTTCATCTCTGCCCGCGATCCCTCTTTTCTCTTTACCCAGCGTGGCAGCACTTTGTCTTTTCCCTTTTACTCGCGATTCTCACGAGCCTCGTCTCCTACATTTGACGACTCGAGAAAAACTTCGCGATGTATTTCTTTTTTCTTTTTCCTCGTGGGTCATAAATTTTCTTTATTCTCAACATCACGAAAAATTGCTTCGAAATACCGTGAACGGTCAAATGGATGAATCAAAGACACCGATAAACCGTGCTTTTTACTATAAATTCTGTTTCGGACAAATAACAACACTGATGTGAAGGAAAAGATATAAAAGTGTAATGAAATGAAAATTGCTTATTTTTGTATTCTATACGGGATGTTGCAACATCAAAACAGACGCGAGAAGGATAGAATTTCAAGTGTGACCTACAAAAAGATCAATTTATACGAAACTATCGCTTCAACGTAAAAACTTGTAGTAAATATAATGTAACTGACAACTTCTATGATATAGTCAACTTTTATATATTTTTTAATAAATTAAGA